ATTTTGTGGCAGAAATTATAGTTTGAAAAACGTTCCAGGGTACTGGCACAAATACGTGACAGTCGGTAGTAAACGCAAAAATGCTCTGGCACGCCTGCGGGTCGGCCAGTAGGTAAGTGTGTTCGTTGTTAGCACGTATACGTGACAGTCGGCGCAAAGGGGTTAAAATCACACATTATTACTGTTCTATTTATAACATTTTTTTCTGAAATACTTTCTAAAATTGGGGATGATTTTTCAGCTTCAGAGGACACTTTTACATCAAATATCACAGTCACTCTAATTAATGCTCTTTAATTCATTTCAAATTAGGACACCTTTTATTTTAATAATGAAATACGTTAGATATTGCTGCTGATTTCTATGTACTCAACTTCATGAGAGGGATAAAAAATGAGAGAATTATTATTATTTAAAATTTGTAACTGAATAATTATAAAATGTAAGGCAATAGGTCTTTTAACACTTATCAAAAAAAATTTTTCCCCCTTGATTTCAACAATACACATTCTAAAAATTCCACTTCCTTAAGTATGCATCTCACAGATTGTGCTTAGCATCTTTTAACAGACTGTTTTTAAGTATGAACTATTTTTGATTAAATAGTTTTATAAATATATGTCAACATAATTTCAGTTAAGTTAACAATTAAATATTATGGTCATTACATGTTTAGATAACATTTATAATCATTATAAATTTAAATATATTTCATAACTAGATTCTTTTCACAATAACATTCACAGGAGTTTATGAATGAATAAATTCATCTTCAAATACAATTATAAATAATATAATCAATGTTTACATACTTAGTTTGAAATCAAATAAATGCTTTTTACAAGAATGTGCATTAACAAACTAAGCTGCGCAACAGCCCTAGTGGACTAAGGCCAGCAGTGCCCCGAAATTCTGCTTTCTTGACCGTGGGCTCCGGGATGCATAAGCATATGCCCTGAAGAAGTGGTCAGCTTGCCGCAGGACCCCCAGTAAACTTGGTACTCATCTCATTGACCCAAGGGATGAAAGGCTGAGTCAACCTTGCTCAACCCGCGAATAGAACCCCAGACCTGTGATGCTGCTGCGCAATGCGCCAGCCACCGCACCTCATGTGCATTAATACTCGTACATATTTAAGAATGTTCATTTTCGGCATGTGCAAACCTTCCATTTCAGTGCATTTACTTTTCGGGTAAAGTAATTTACAATAATGTAGGACATATCTGAATTTTTACACAAGAAATATCAGAATTCGTACACATTTCTGCACACGGAAAATAAGTACTTTTAAGGACATTAATGAAAAAAAATTAAGGACCTAAATGGGAACTGAATAAATTCAATTAAAAATATTATATATGCCCGAATTTCACTTTTGTAATACCATCCTAAAAATAAAATAGATCCCTAAGTAGTATGCATTATTACTAAACATGAATTAACATAATTATTAATAAGTTTGAGAATAAAATAAATTTTATGCAATTTATTGAGTAGCATTAAATATTTTACACTTATATTAGTTGGACATATTTGAAAAAAGATAAGTGACAGTTACGTTTTACTAACAGTTAGCTTTGATTTTTTTATGTCTCATTTTGTCACATACTTAGTTTAGAGGTTTAGTAAATAGATAGATTTTATGTCAAACGGCATAGGTTAAAATGAGAAGTAAGATCATTATCAGCATGATTCATAACCCAAAAGACTTAACGTTGTCACCGCTGCTGCTTGTCTAAAGAGAGACCTACTGATAAGAACAAACCTGAAAGGCCTGATGTATGCACAGTTGGCAAGTGTTGAAAGTTAGTCAGGCTTTGTTTGATGCAGTTAGTGTTGCAGCTTCGTGTAGAGTTCTAGAGATTGTAAATCAGTTAATATACTTTAAGGTTCCAATGAGCCATTAAAGCACCAGGTGTTTTGTATTAAGTTTCACTAGATGCAAAGAATAAGTTTTACATTTTTGTGTTTTATCTTATGACCAAAGTGAGTATTAATGAAGGGCAATAACTCACTTTAACATGTAGAGATAGTTTATAAGGGTAAGCAGTTAGTTATAAATAATTAAATTAGGTAATTAGATCACCTTAGTCATTATGGATTTACATGGCCACTATTAAATTTTATTATTTAACAATATTTATTAAAAAAGCCCTATTAAAATCTAATAAAATTTCACATTTTAAAATACATGTAATTTATGCCATTGATTCTTAAATGATATTAGAATAATTACATATTAAAAGGTACAAAACATTTATGGTTTGTAACAACACTCAACAAAATATTCATTCGTCATTTTAATTTGAAGAATTCCCAAGCATTTTGGCTAGTTAATAATCAATTTCCTTCTCTTTAAGCATCTTTTCTAACAATTAGAGATTTGCCTTAATATGCAAACCAATGCTCTTGCTAGTTTCTGCGTGCTTTATCTCCTAACTTGTCACAACATATTCACAATGTACCTATGAGGGTTTACTTGAACTGGGAAAAGTTAATTAGTTCAACTCCCCCGGCAGATGTCAAGCAAATTATCGCTATTTCTGAAAGTAACTACAATATCAGACAAAAGTTATTAGAACTTAAAACATAAAGGCATGTTCTAATGCAAATCAATTATAGCTCACATTGACGTAATTAAACAAAAACAGCTAAATTCACACTAAAATTTTGGTCAGATTATACAATTTAATCTGACTCAGAAACTCTATCATATGAGGAAATGGGAAATTATAAACTGGGTAATTTATATAATAATAACTGCGCATATCTTCGAAGAATAATTTTCTTTATGTATTCAGTTTCTTTCTTCAACATCTTTCATATTCATTTTAGAATTTTTGGATTTAATCAAGGACTTCTGTTATTCTAAAAAACACTAAATGCACTTAGAATGCATGGAAAAAGTGGCTAATTTTATTTTTTTAGTAATATGAACATTCAGAAGAAATACGAAATATATAAGGTACAGGCCGATTAGAGCTGGAGTGGCAGAATTTTTAGAATTTAGTGACACACTGTAAAACAAAATCTAAAAATAGCAAAACTTTTAGAATTTAGAAAGGCGCTAAGCAGCAGAATTAGGATCCACAGAGATTGCATCAGGCTAGAAAATGCCTAGTGCCCAGCTCTGTATATGATGCAGTAAGACATATTAGATGAATCTTTTAAATTGAAACTTTTCAATTTCTTTATTAGTAAAAAGTCCATTTCTATAATACCTGCCCATGTGATAAGATTAGAAGCATTTTTGATATTTTCCATGCTTGTGTCTAGTGAAAAGTAGAGAAGAAAAAATGTTAAGAAAAAGATTCTAGTATCAGGAGTAAAACATTCAAATATTATGTTTTCATTGTTCTTCCAGATGTTATCCAAAAAGTAAGAAATTCATCACAAACTTTCTGTAAAATACATCCATTACTTGTTGATAGCATGGAGATATTTTCCCTTTTGTCACAAATTTCTCGAATCTATAAATCTTGGCTTCAGATCTTTCTAAACTTTCTAAGTTGCAATGTCTTAAATACTAAAGAAAAATTATCTTTGCCAATTCTGTAACAGTGAAATGCCAGAAATATTTTTGGGAGGGGGGGAAAAAGGAAAAAGTGTAAAATTAATTTTATAGAGCAAAACTGATGCATATTCTGAGACAATTACATTGGAAAAAAATTAAAAAGATATTTTTTATTAATTGCATTGATAATTTTGCTTTTGCTGAGAGCTGTTTCGTAAATTGTGCTTTATAGCATTGAACCCTGTTTATTTTTTAGATTTAAAATATTGTATAAGTTGCCAAAATGAAGCTGTATAATATGACAGTGAAAATTAAAATGTTTTAATGTTATTTTTTAAATATAATTTCAATATATTACCATTATTTTAATGAAATTTATCAATGTTATAATGTAAAAAAAAAAAAAAAAAAATCTCCAAAAATTCAGAGATTTTGGAATTAAAAATTTTCTATCGAAACTGATCTTAAAATCGCCAAATTTAGAACCATTTGATAAAAGAAATAATTCACATCCCCAAAAGCAAAAAGTTGTTTAAGAGCTCTTTATCAGAAAAAATGAATTTAGAAATGCTTATTTTTCACTTCTTGCTTAGAATCTCATGTATCACATAATTTATATTAGAAACAGAAACAAATTATAACCCATTCAAAAGATATCCATATATGTCAGTGAATCGCCAAAAATATTCCTCCAAAATGGTAATTCACACTCAAAAATGGCAGTCGTAAATTTCAGATGATTAAAATTAAGAACCTTTTGCTGATTTTGGCCAAACTTAAGGACTCTTAAGGACCGTATGAACACTGAATATGCATAAATTGAATGAAAATTACATGCATTATTTTCAATGTGCACTAATTTCATTACACTCTTATACTGCGAAAATCCTGAGCATGGAAGAGCTTTAATTCATCAAAGTACTTTTTTTTAAACATGATGAAAATGCAATTAATACACATACTGCTGTTAGGATAGACTTAGTAATGTTCCATATATAGATGTAAAACAAAATTAAATACAAATACTAACTGATTAAGCAATGCTTGGTGTACTACAAATGTTTATAATACATTAACTCAAATAAAATTTAATCATACTGAAAATAACTATTGAATATAATTAATTTAATAAAGCTTTTTTATTACTGAAAAACATGCTGTTTTTTAAATACTAAAACTTCAAAACTGGGAGGTCGGAAGATATGAAAATTAGAGAATTTTAGCTATCCATTACATATACAGAAAACAACAGAAATCCCATACTGCTTGTCCATCACGATTTAGCATTAGTTTGCCACAAAATATAAGGAAAATAAGATAGTTTGAACGACATTTGCACGTACATTGAACATGTTTTAAAATCACTGACTCGTATTTATGTAGTACTAAACAATACAAAAATCTCCTTCCAAATGCTACATAAAAATATGGCTAGAAAATCAGAATAAAATACAATAAATTAAAAAATCATACATTTCACAAAAAATGATAAAATTCAAATTTTAAATATATATATATATATATATATATATATATATATTTATTTATTTTAGTTCAGTTATGAAAATGTCATACATATGGTTCTGTTCTTTTTAGACAGTGTTATAAAAATGATTAAGGAAATAGCCATTTTTCAAAATCCGTTATCTGGAACAAAACGGCAACAATTTTACACATTGAAAAGAACTGTCCAGATAGTAAGCAAGCAGGAGTTAAATACACCAACAAATGTTTTTAATACAGTGCACTTCTGGAGTTGGCCTGTTATGCAATATACAAAATTAAAAAGGCAAAGATTTTAATAGTCTGAACTTTCTGACGATCTAATGTCATCAATTTTAAGGATCATTCTAACAAGCTGAGTGGCTAAACTGATCTGCTGCTTCTTGCTTGTTAAAGTTTCAATGACATTCTGAGCTTTCATATCTAAATTAAGAGAAAGGAAAAAATAATTTAAATATTCACAGATTGCACTTTTAGGTCTTTCTGTTAATATATAATACGTTACATAAGCTATGCAGCATGCATATACAAAATTTAGTCATTTTACTAATCATTATCAGTATTTCTTTAATTTATATTCAAATTCATTTAAGATATGATTATAGATGATACATATTGAAACAATGTACAAAACTTACCACAAGTTCCTTTACCCATGCAGTCAACACCAAGCCATGGATTTTTCTCTTTTATCTGCCTAGCTTTAATAGCAGTAACTTCTTGCATAGGGTTCAGACCACTGTTTTCAGCTAATGACAGAGGGATACTTTCTAACGCGTCAGCAAATGCACGGAATGCATACTGCTCCATAGAAGATATCTGTATTTCAAACAAAAAATTTTAGTAAAATACACCAGATACATAAGCTTTTATATGAATATATTGTTACGAAATGTACAGGTGTGGTGAGATGGCTTCCCCTCAAAGCAGTTTTAGAGTTGCCATAAAATGGCAAGGGAAGTTAGGGTTGCCACATTTGGTGAGAAATCGCCCATTTGGCGACATACTATGGACAGTTGGAGAACCTTCTGGAACGAATTCTTGCCGGTTTAGCCCAGAATGTTCTCGAACACCAGCCAAAAGCTATACAAACCCTGCTGGTCCGCAGTCAGTCAGTGTGTCTCTTATCGAGTGTATGTGTCTCGTCTAGCGAGTCAATCGAGCTGACAGCCTCAAGTGGGTGCCGAGTGCACCGAAGGAGTCTTTTAGTGTATCGGTTGAGAGAGTGGGTTGAGCTCCGGGAACGACTGAACGAAGAGTCGGGAGCTGAGCTCGTGTGTCGTCGAGTGCATTGCGAGTTGTAGTGTGGAAAGTCTCAAGAGTACATGAACGTCCAAGCAGAGTCAGGAGCTGTACTCTGGTGCTTTGCAGGAAGCTGTCTCCACCGTATTGCCCAACAGTGTGAAGGCTGTGTCGCTGATTGTTCCAGCGTGTTTATAGTAGTTCATCGAAGACTTTAAAACGTGTTTTGGAGCTTTCCTGACAATACTGACTAATAAAGTGTGTTTCGATACTTTATCAAGTGTCGTCTTTATTCACTCCAAATCTACGAACCCCGTACGAACGTGTAGGAAGAAAACATAGCAAATGGTGTCAGAAAAGGAAAAACGTAACAACTGGTGTTAAGAAGTGGGATTTGCGAGTGAATGCCTGTGACCCGCTTGAAGTGGAAGAAATGAAGACTCTGATGGTACTTTTAGCCGAGTTGAAAGCTGGACAGGAAGAGATGAAAGCTGAGATAAAAGCCGGATATGATGAGATAAAATCTGGATATAAAGAGATGACAGCTGAGATCAACGCCGCACTGAAAGAGATAAAAGCGGGACTGGAAGATAAGAAACCCCGGCAAGAAAAAACAAATGTCGGCAAAGAAAAGGTGCGAGAGCAATTCCAACAGGTAAAAGTGGAGTTTGCAGAAGATATTGGAGGCATAAAAGATGATGTGGAAATGAGAGAAGTAGCAGTTGAGGAAATGAAATAAGTAGCTAATGAACTGCCTGAGAAAGATCAAGAAATTATAGAAGAAACATCTAATGGGATTAAAGGAAAAGAACGAAAATATGAAGAAATAAAGATGGGAAGGAAGATTTTGATTCTCACGTGCCTGAAGTAGAGATAGAAGAAACTGAAAATGCGACTGTTAGTTCGTCAAAACTAATAGTGAAATTACCAAGCCGCAGTTAGCAAGTATTGAACCATCTGAAAACGCATGTGATGCAGAGATGAGAGAAGTTGATGTGTAGCTTAAGCAGTGCGCCCCGGTATTGCAAGAAAATACACCCACCTCACAAACTGGGTGGTAGTGCTGATTATGCGGACAAGGACTTGATTCTAAACCTGGATACTTGTGTTTGTGAAGAATGGGTTTCCGTTCATGACTCTGATGCAAAATTTAAAGCTGGCTCCCTGGAAACAGGGCAAAACCAGTATGTACCAGCTGCTAAAAATACCGAGGTGAACTGTATGTATGCTGCGAATGAACTACAGAGTGGTGAACAAACTGTTTCACATCTCCCTGTGGATGAAAGTCTGAAAGGACTGAATCTTCAGACTGTGATATGCAAAATAGAAATACATTTGAGAACTGCAGTGGAAAAGTATTTGACCTGGTATATTTTAATGAAAAGACAGAGACTGAAATTGGACTTTCATTTGATTTTAGATTTAATTAGAGATTTTAATTGAGACTAATTTGTATAATTTAAAATTATTATGCGTTTAATTTGTGTATATGACTTGTGCATACTGTAAATATCTGTTTCTTTAGTTATGTTATTTATTTATTTATACCTTATGCTTGTCTCATTACGTTTTGTTTGTATCGGATTAGGCTTCTGACCAAGGGTTGTACTGCCCGGGACGTGCAGTCACTGGGAGGGGGCAGTGTTACAAAATGTACAGGCGTGGTGAGATGGCTTCCCCGCAAAGAAGTTTTAGGGTTGCCATAAAATGACATGGGAAGGTAGGGTTGCCATATTGGTTGAGAAATCGCCCATTTCGAGACAAAATTGGCGATATACCATGGACGGTTGGAGAACCTTCTGGAATGAATTCTTACCGGTTTAAGCCAGAATGTTCTCGAACACCAGCCAAAAGCTATATAAACCCTGCTGGTCCGCAATCAGTCAGTGTGTCTCGTCTAGCGAGTCAATCCCTGCAAAGTCAATCGAGTTGACAGCCGGGCAAGTGGGTGCCGAGTGCACTGAAGGAGTCTCTTAGTGTATCATGGTTAGTGCATCGTCAAGAGAGCGTGTTGAGCTCCAGGAACGACTGTACCGAAGAGTCGGGAGCTGTGCTCGTGTGTCGGCGTGCATTGCAAGTTGTAGCATGGAGAGTCTTGAGAGTACGTGAACGACCAAGCAGAATCAGGAGCTGTACTCTGCAGGAAGCTGTCTCCACCGTTATTGCCACTGACAGTGTGAAGGCTGTGTCGCTGATTGTTCCGGAATGTTTATAGTAGTTCATCAACGACTGTAAAACATGTTTTGGAGCTTTCCTGACTAATAAAGTGTGTTTCGATACTTCTTCAAGTGTCGCGTTATTTACTCCAAATCTACGAACCCCATACGAACGTGTAGGAAGAAAATAACGTAACAATATATACACACACATATACATCGACACACAATATAAATATGGAAATAATTATATCAAAGCTGCTAAAACCAAAATTATAAATTCAGGATATTGAAGAAAAGAAATTAAATCATTAAATACATATTAGCCACTGCTGCAAATAATGTAAGTAAATAAGCAATTATATCAAAGTTCTTAAAAACATACACACATACATATATGCCCTATTTTGTGTATTTCCCTTTTTTGTAACTAATTCCATTATGGAAATTATTTAATTTTTAAAGGGTGCAGTTACAGTAAGAACATAATAAATGAAAAGCAGACATAGATAAACTACAGGTAACTGTCACAATAGTATTTCTTAAAAAAAAAAAAAAAAAAAAAAAAAACTACTGGGTATCCAAAGGAATCCCTAATTTCAAAATTATAAATCTCAAAAACAAAGATCAATAGAGGAATTCAACAATCAGCATATTTATTGTGCAAGCTGCAAGATTGTTATAGAGAAGTTTTGAAATAATAGTTATAAAAACTGCCAACATACAGCAGTTTATGCTAATGCCCGGTGACTGAATTTTGAATGGAACTCGTCTCAGCTGTTTCTCAGTATTTTCTGCATGCTGAATGTTTCAAACCAGTCTCTGTTACAATTCTTTGTATTGATTTCCTAGGATTTTGCTGAATAATTCCAGAAACAGTTGTGTCATTTTCAGGAGTACCAAAACTCCATACCACACAGTCGGCCGCGCTCCTGTTTGTTGAACATTTAACGAAAATCTTGTAAATGGTTTTCACAGTGGGTCCTTTGGGAGCATTCAATGGTGTTTGAAAAGTACACCTTGTTACCACAGAATTATGATCTAACCCCTGGCATTCCAGTACCGGTAACACACATTCACGGTTTTGTTCCATGTTCAATGAAATACATGATTTCAACTTCTGTTCCCTTTTGAAGAGCTATTTATATGCACTACGTATTGCGACCACACCACAGCAACATATGTTTGCAGCTTTCGGGACTATTATTTGGAAACTTTTCTATAACAATTTTATAGCTTTCACAACAAATACACCACTAATTGTATTCCTTTTACTGTTATTTCTGCTAACCCTTAGCACTTTCATGTATAATTAGAGAAGGTAAATGTGCAGCTGACTCGACAAAATCAGGCTGAATGCCAGTTCATGTTTGTTTGACTATGATTGGTCAGTTCTTATTATTAAGATTTTTTTATTCAAAAGTTGGGTGGAAAGTTTTGACAAGACCTTCACAGATAATATGCGAGGATCTTTATTTTTTAATAAGACATAATCACTATGTGGATAAATCAATTTTTAAATTTAGGGGATAGTGTTCCCTAAACGGAAAATTATGTAAATATATATATATATATATACAGTCAAAAGTCGTTAATCCGGACTCGTCGGGAGTTTGGCGATTCCGGATTATAGATCATCAGTTTACATCTCGTAAGATGGCATGCAGAAATTCTAAAATTAAAAATATGAAACCGTAATTTATGAAATAAAGAACAATTATGATCTAAAGGGTATCAAAATTTTCAAAAAGAAAAAGCTTAATATTTATTTGTTTACTTTATTAAACATTTCTTTCAATGTAAGTTGTTTAAGTTTTGCTTCGTTTCATGTGATAATACTTTCTCTTTAATTCTATTAAACAGACATAATTTCTTGTTCAGTTACAAAGTTCCGCCGTTCAAGTCCTATAATTGCTGTGTCAAGAACATCGACTAATTTGTCAATCGAAATATTTTTTTTTTTCAATAACCTCTGTCACTTTTCTTCACTATCGGAAGCGAATTATAATGACGATGAACTTGTTTTAAATCATATCAAAGACGGAGCATATCGAGATGAAATACTACATTTGGTAAGGAATTATAAGCCAAATAAAATAAAAACATCTGCGCTGAAGATAAGGATAGTGCTGACAAATCAACTTCCAATTCATTAGGCGCCCGCCGCCGAGCAGCGTGAAATTGATAAACAGATTTCGGATTTCAAAACATACTTTCCTTTACATATTAACAAATATATATCGGAAATTCTATTTGATATAATCGAAAGTTTAAGCTTACTTTTATAAAATTGCTCTTACAGTCTGCAAAAAATAATAAGCCGGATGCAATTCGAAAATTAGCGAACAACGCAATCATCAACATTAACTGAAATAGATAATTAGATAATTTTAGCGTATACGTCCATTATACATAAAATGCGCACGCGAAAACGTATTCTGCACTTGCGCACACTCATATGCGCAGTCGTAAAAGGTCTTACGCGCACGCGTGAACGCCTCTGCGCATGTGTCAACGTGGCGCATGCGCAGAAAGTTTTTAGTTTTGATGTCCGGATTATAGATCATTCCGAATTAACAACTTTTGACTGTATTTAATTTTCAGAATCTGGCACTAAAAAAGATAATTGGAATTTTTCAATTATATGTAGATGCTACTCAAATCAACAAAAAACAACATGGGATGAAAAAAGCTAATTGGAAAAATATAGGATGGCATGATACATAAAGAGCGATTTTTTCAATTATATGCAGATGCTACCCAAAGCAACAAAAAAGAACAATCTCTTAGCGTTAATTAAAAACATGAGAGATAAATAAGAATTTAAATGCCTGATTTTGGCCATACATAGGTATTTTAGAAGCTCACTCTTAAAGAATAATTTTTGACATTCTAAACCTGCATTTTCAGGACACCACAAATTAATATATTTTACATGGTTCTATAAATTCCTAAATACGTGCAATATCTGCCAGTCTGTAAATGTGTAATGCAAGATGAACTCCTTGATGACCACCAAAAAGTTAAGCAGACCACAAAGTGAATTATCTCATTTGCACTCTTAACACCTTATCTAGGCACTGAGGAGAAAAAAAGCTATACACAAATATACTTACTTTATCTGCTTGTTCCCCAACAACTATAGAACAAGCTATTTCAACAGATCCACCACCATATACAACTCTGTTATCCTTAACTAAATTTCGAACAACGCACAAAGCATCATGCAAACTTCTCTTAGCTTCTTCAACAACCTACAAAATAATAATGTACAATTAAAAAAATTTTTAATAATTATTTTTCATTCTACACAATAAAAGCTTGAATATCCAGAAATCTCAGGAAATAATGTGTAAAAGTGTGAAAATTTCATATAGTTGAGTGTTAAAAATGCAATTCATGGTAAAAAGCCTAATAAGTGGAAGAAGAAATTTATAGTCTAAAATTTTAGAAAGAGTCGTCTTATTTGTTTTCGGCTTAAATATCAAAAGCCTACATTTAACTTAATGGAAAATTTTAATAAAAAATAAAAAAAGGGAAAAAAGCATTTTATACATAAAAATCAATATATTTTTATACACTAAGTATATTAAAGTAACAGAGATACCACCAAACTTGCACCTAACCATTTTGACAAATGTTAAAACAAACCCACTATCGCTCTTTAATTAATTAAATAATAAAGAAATGCAAATTATGGGTACAGCATATAAAACACTTAAATCACATAATTTTTAAAATCACAATGGTAGTGCCAATCCATTTTAAAATAAAGTTGTATAACAAGTCATTAATGGCCCACTTTTCTTAATGCCAAGATCTGTAATTTTGTAAATACTTTACTGCATGCTGTTCCATTTTAGCCAGGTTTAAAAATTTTCAAAATATGAAGACAAAACACATAAATAGCAGTTAGCTTATATCCTTCTTGGCGAAAACTAAACTAGCTTGTTGAGAATTTACAGGGTTTACATAAAACTACAGTGAAAATTGTATTGTGGTACCACACCCATTATAGGTGCTAAATCACAATGGCGACATTATTTTGTTCCAAGCTGTAGTACTATTTGTGCTCTCTGACAGCCTTATAAATATCTCAATTGCTTAATTTTAACCTTTTAGCTGTCAAGTTATTTTGATGATTTGGGTGCATAAATTGTCATTTTTTTTTTAATTTCAAAAATGAAATGTTTGCCTCGCAGAAAAAAAAAAAAAATGCCGCGCACTTTGAACTTTAACCCTTTGCGACACGCATATTTAAAATATATTTTAATCTTTAACCCACCATGCAACTAGCACATGTCTTATAGCATATTGGTGTATAGCAGGAAAAAAAAAAAATAATATGTGAAATGAATAAACAAAATAAAGCGTGCATTCTAAAATATTCATAATAAACACACTAAAATGCATTTTGTACTTATTGCATATATGCATGACTTGTATAATTTTGCATATATATATTTCATATTTTTAAATTTTAAGAACAAAAATATTTTCTTGAATATTATTTTAAGATTAAAATTTGATACACATACATATGATACTAAATAAAATATTAAAATTGGCACTTGATTCAAAAACATTTATATATGATTAAAATTGAAAAAATGTCATTTTTCATGAAACTTTGAAAAAAATGTTGTTTCATTCTTTTGTAAGCATAAAGGCACTTCACATGTTTCACACATCCAAAATGTTCGTCGTTCTTCTTTCGATGTGCTGCAATATGCACATCTTCTCCTGCTCGTTATCTTTGGCGTGTGACTTACATTTTTTAGTCTCTTTTCTGGTTGTACGAACGGGTTTTTAGTTTTTATTTGAACTGGGGATTTCAATTTTCTTTTCAGCTCTTTCTTGCCTGCAAGTGCCATTAGACCTTCTATAACTGAGAGAAGAAAATCTTTCATTGTGTTTACATCATGATCGGGTTAGCGAACAAACTTAAATAGAATAAATGCGGTTACTATACTCACATCTTTAAAGTTAAAAAAAAAAAAAAAAATCATGCGCCACCATTTCTTGCTTTTGCGGTCTATTTCATATAGTCCTTTCAATTGATCAATCAGTCGACATTGTATGAAATTGTATGAAATAATACTGTTTGGGCACAGTACTTTTTTTGTCTTTCCATCTCATTCTTTTCTATTAATTCCTTTCATTTCAGTTGCCTTTTCCAAGCAAGACAGGATAGAAACAGATCTTTTATCCTTCCATTTTATGCAATAAATAGAATCATCGCTAACTGAAAAGTCTATATATTCTCTTACATAAATTTGTGGGTAGATACTTCCGATTCCTATTTATAGCGCTACATGCATAGATGGGTCTGTGTCTTTAAAAAGCAAAACAAATTACAACTACTTCCCTTTCTTCTTCAGCAATAACTTCAACCTCAGTTATTCTCTCTTGGATTTCAATTTCATCTGAATCAGAACTGACATCTGAAGCATTTGAGTCGTAATTGGATGGCAATTCAGCAAAAAGATCCAAAGCTTCCTGAGTTGTTAATTTTTTTCTAGACATTTTAGCACATCAGAGCATACAACGGATGTAAAAGCACGCGCAATCACGAAAAAAGTAGATGCAAAAAAGAAAAATTATCGTGAGTGCTGCCATCTATTGAGCGGAAATTCAAGTGTGTGGTGGGACAAATTTTAACCCACTTATTTCAACTGCAAAATTAATGTTATAAAATATTGAATCCAATTAAGATTTTTGAAAATAAAATACCTTTGAATATTAAAAAGATTCATACATATCATAAATTGTATACCAAAATTTTTAAAATATTGAAAAATGCGAGATAAATGGATATCACTCTTGTGATCCTATTTTGAATATTTTTTGCTTATAAACTTAAGCCCTGGCATAGTAGTGACATCTACTGAGAAAAATAATAACTAAAATAGATTATTTTTAAAAGATTAGAAAATTTCTAACAGAAATATATATTAATTAGGTGGGACATATATTGACCCACCATGCCGCAAAGGGTTAACCTCTATCCTTTGAAACCTTCAGTAAAATGCTGCCATCTGTTGAAATGAAGCCGAAATAAACTTCTCATGATATATATTCGGGTATAACAATACTATGCAATTAAAAAAAATTAGCCCGAGTATCATTTTGGAATACCAGTGCTGTGCCCGAGATTATTTCGGGCATGACAGTTAAAAGGTTAAAGCAATTTTTAAATACTTAGTAACTCGAGCTTTTCAGTTAGTTGAATACCCGCTAGTCAGGTTTTGACTACACGTATAAAAAAATAAGAACTATGGCTTTGAAATTTATGCAACGACAAATTTATACATGCACAATAGTGCTGCTTATTCCGTGCAACACATATTTTTAAACAGAAACCTTATTACAAATTAGAATCTGAAAAGCTTCTGTGAAACATGAAAAGTAAAGATAATAACACTGTCAAATTTTCTGTAGTAAAGTGGCTTTACACCTACCTCTTGCTTTCAAAGACAACTATTATTATTTTTTAATAGAAGGTTTTTTTTATCCTTTCTATATCAGCAGTATCAAAATTTTTTTTGATGTATTATTTATTTTCATTTCAAATCACAATGAAGTAGATACAAATATTTTAATATTACACTTCCCTGTTGTACATCGTCCCAATATAGGAATATTTTTTAATGATCACGAAATCTAGTTTTGCAATTAGTTTTTAATTATTTTCATTTAATTATGTAAGATATTATTTTTAATTGCATAATACATCATGATAATATACTGGTTGCACTATTAATGATTTAATAAAAAGTGTATTTTATTTGTTTTCATTTAAGTATATATATTTTCAAAACTTCAGCTGATTTCTTTTTTTTTCTGCACAGCTTAGTTTCTTAATCATTTTTATTCACAATCATCAGAAGAAATTTAATATCTAAATATCTGTTCATTATGAAATTAACTAGATTTAAATAACAGCTTAGTTTAGAGCAAGTTTTTAAAAATAAATTACTAGAATAAGAAACTGATAAACTAATTGGTATTGACTTTAATTATAAGTTTTTATGAAAATGGTGCTTAAAAATTAAAAAACTAATTTCAATTCAAATTTTTTTTAAAAAAAGTTCCATTTAAAAGTAGCCACATGAAGCACTTTGGCAAAATTTAAAATTTGTCAAAAACTAGAAAAACACCATGGCCACCTTCGAAAAAGAAAAATCGCAGCTTACAGGGAAAATAACACTTACTATTGTGGAAGCCATAATTCACCAACTGCTGCTATTATGGATTGTTCTTATTTACACTCATGTCGATAAATTAAGGATAATTTGGAGTCCTGCGGAAATCGAACTCTAAAATAAATATACCACCTGTAAAATCACTACACACATCTTCAAGAATCATATGCAAATTTCAGGAAGTAACCAGATGACACCGATGGTATGTCACAATGACGAGAGTGTAATATAAGGAATACAGGCAAAGAAGTAAATTTTCGCAGGCGCTTTATAAGCATTTCAGTGCAATAACCGAATAGTTATGACACAAAGGATGCATTTGGATGATTTTTTACGTGGTAGAATGTGGGCATACCCAACTGGAAGTATCAGACAAACTTGGAATTGCCCAGAGTGTCATCTCCAGGCTTTGGCAACGATTCCAAGATGATGGTAATGTGAGAGTAGACGTTACAGCACAGGTTGCCCCAGAGTTACAACGCCGAATGAGGACCGGTATTTGGCAGTTACTGCCAAAAAAAACAGGCGGAGCACAGCCTCAGACCTGTCTCGTCAGCTCTCTTCAGCCACTGGTACGACAATTTCAAGGCAGACCATGTACAAACGCTTAGGGCAGATTGGTCTATATGCTCGTAGACCTGTCATATGCATTCCACTTACTGCAACTCACTGTCGCCTGCGGTTAATCCTGGAGTAGAGAGCATGCATTGTGGACACCGCAACAGTGGGCTTGTGTGATGTTTTCCGACGAAGTCCAGGTTTAGCTTGCAGTCTGATTCTCGCCGGACTTTCATATGGAGAGCTCCAGGTACCCGTTACTACCAAGAAAACATCATTGAACAACACCGTTACGGTGGTGTGCAGGAGTGCTCTCGTTTTGGGTGGAATTATTCTGGGTTCCAGAACTGACCTGCATGTTCAAATTGGAACCATGACAAGCCAAATCTATCAGGACATCATTCTGGAACAACATGTATGTACATGTTGTTTGGGGCGCCATGGCCGCACAATTTGTGTTTATGGATGACAAACGCCCGTCCTCACCGTGCAAACATCGTAAGCGAATGCCTTCAATCGGGCGATATCACCCGTATGGACTGGCCAGCATTCTCACCGGACTTGAATCCAGTAGAGCACATGTGGGACATGCTTGACCGAAGTTGCAGCCCATCAACCTTCTCACCTCCTCCTACATGTCTACCGGAACTTCGGAGAGCATTGCTTTTTGAGTGGTGTAATATCCCCCCAAGATCAGATCGATAATTTGATACTCAGCATACCTAGGCGTTGTACGGACTGTATTGCATTGTCTGGGAGACATACAATGTATTAATCATCGTACCAACCATGTAATATTGTTTATTTTTTTTGTAAATAGGTTTTTTTTTTTTTTTTTTTGTAATTTGCTCCAGGGAGAAAAAATTAGGAGAAAAAAGGAAAAAGGGAGATTTTTTTAATAATATCAAACATATAGCATCTTTTTTTGCTTTTTACCTTTTGTTTAATAAATAAGCTTTACAAATAAGTCAAATTTGTTTTGCTTCTAACTCTTCCTTGCCTGATTTTGCATTATCCTTAATTTATGGACATGAGTGTAATTATATGCTGCAGTGTTTGAAGGAAGTTAGTTCTTCAGCCCACCGAACGAAAGAGCCAGATAAAAGAGTGGTTAGTGACACTGACTGCCACACCAAAGTGCCTGGGTTTGAATCTTGGAGAAGATTTGGATGTAAATTGTGTACATGTTAGCTGCGTGTTAGGTGCCTCCATAATAAAATGACCACTGCTTCTGGCTTTAGTAGTGGCAGAAACCTAAAACGGCTAGAGCCCGCCATTTAAAAAAAAAAAAAAAAAAAAAAAAAAAAAAAAAAAAAGAGAGAGAGAGAGACAGTTCTTTAGCCCAATGGCATATGAAGGGTTAAGTAGTGAAGTAAGGATCCTTGAACAACAAAATAAATTATTGGCACTAAATTTTATCTCCCTGAAGTTTTTCACATGCATCTAAAATACCTCCCACTAACTTGATGGCCATTGATTTGTTTCCTTGTACAAGGTTGGCACTGAAACAGGAGAATGAAATTCCCTCACTTTTCCAAGTGTGTTTTAAGAAAATTCAAGTCTATTCGCATAATGCACATTGACTGTGCTAAGAGGTAAATTAAATTATAATTACTTGAGAACACAAAAGTTTGCCAATTACATATGACATATATATATAATCCTCAACGTATTACTATTTTAATTATAATAGGAATTGTTTTCTCCACTGAAGATTGAGATTGGAATTTGCCCAATCTGGATTAAAAAAAAAATCTTTTTTTTTCAGACATTTTGCAGCTAAACGAAAGAAATATATTTAATATTTTTTAATAAATTCAGGTACTTTATATTATATTTATTCAGCAACGTACATAAGCAAAAAATATGTGCATTAAATTTCGTGATGGTATGTCATCATACTGCTAGAATTAATTTCAGGATTATGCCACAGTTATATTTAATGGTTAGCCTAGATGACTGATTACTATTTTTCTACTTTACTGCAAAGTAACAAATAAGGCATTTATTAAAAAGAAACGGTTTAAAACATTTTGTGATAAAATCCTAGTATACAGTAAAGGCTTTGGCAGGATTTTGAAAATTGTCGCCAACACCAAAATGACCCGTTTACTGCTCATCATAACGTCCCCAAATCCCGTGTGTACCATACATGGAGGTTATTCTAACCAAAGAACGTCTATGTAAAGACAGAAAGGTTCCATAGGCGTAATGCTATTACGCTGCTAGAAAGAGGAGGCAGCGACGGAACCTGGCGGCCAGAATTTCTCTCTCTGCGATGTATACAGGAAATTGAGGAACACATGTTAAGAAGAAACATTCTTCTTTGATTTTTCACAATAATTTAAACACAAATTTTTGTATTCCCCCCCCAATCCATTACTTAATTTACTTGTGTGAAAAAATATTTTCTTTTTTTTAAATTTAAAGAAATTTTAAATGATATTCATTTTATGTCGACACCAGCTTTTGAGCTTTGGCGAAACATATTTTGCGCATGCGCAGCTGTTTCCTTTTATGTTCGAACGGAGCCACTCCTATTGCAGAGAAGTTTTCTTTCTTAACAATACATATTCCTTGATTTTAACTTCCATAGTACCGTATGCTAGGATTAAACCAATTTTGTTTTATATGAGAATAAGTATTTTGTTTAGTTCAACATGCACTGTGCATGCACATGCGATTCTTGAGGCTACTGGAAACCAAAGTTGCTTGCAACTTGCTTTGCCTTTCTAAAAGACAATCTAATTGGAGCTGTGAAAATTGGCTCTATGCCTGAATGACGATCACGTGATACACAATTTGCCAAGAAAGTGATCGCTTCCAACATCGGCGCAAAACTCGTTTTTTTTTGGGGGGGGGGATTGCCGTATTAAATTCCCTGATTTTTCCAGATTTTGATTAAAATATTTGAAGTCCCTGACTTTTTGATCAATTTTCAAATTCCTTGACTTTTTATGGTTTTCCAGATAGCGTGGCAACCCTGGTTGTAAATTCCTGCACTCATTATTTCAAACTCCGTTCCATAAACTTTCAAGAGTTGTGATGATTTTGCCACGTTTCTTTATTTTATTTTTCGATGGTTTGGTCAAAAACAATAAACAAACTCCTTTCCAGCCCAGCAGTATATGAAGTGCAAAGCAGCTAGACAAATAGTCCTGAAACCACAAATCAATTATTCGCATGCAAACCTTCTTTTTCTTTACAGCTTTTCATACCAAAGATTTTGCTTCCCCGAAAACAGTTTTAAGCGGTACTTATTTTTGAACTTTTGTTCAATACGCAAAATTCCTTGCTTTTAGAAGGGTGGAGAATGTTGCTTCATTATCAGATTTAGTCATCATCAAAATTGAAATGAAAATATAAAATTTAGTAAATATTTCAGAGTGGAAAAAAGATAGCAAAGTAACAATATTTAAAGTGAGCATGAAAATTAAATGTTTCACATTACAAATAATGCAAAAAATTACTCTCCCCCCAGCTGATTATAAATCAAAAGGGGTAAATATTTTACAGCAAGTAAAATACTAAATCAGTGATATCAGATGGACAACTTTGAAACCAAAACAGAAAATGAACCCATTGCACATTAAAAAGCCAGATTAAATTTTCATACTCTGCCAACTGATCAAAATGACCACTTTAACAAGGAACTCCCTAAAAATTTATTTTTATACATCTTGTCCAAGAGTATAAAAGTTATAAAATCACATGAACTATAAATCTTGCCCATGCTTTTACTTCCAATAAATAACATAAATCATTTAGGATGATTGAAGCAACGAACGAAAGGCTCACTGCAAACGGGGAGAAGGAGGAGAAAAATACAGTTCTATATCTCCCATTCTACTGGGCCAATTGACAAAATTCAAATTGCATTCCTCATGTCTAGAAAGCACGACTTAGAATATGTATTAGATTTATATATAGCATTGTTCTAATACAGGTATTTTGACCCAAAACAGGACTTTTTCTGAAATGGCATGCCAATTTTTTTTCCATATTTCGATTATATGACTCAAATTATGCCAAACTGCCAAGTTTTGTAAAAAACGCACGAGTAGTTTTTTTTAAAAATTAGCTCCTCAATGTTGATTGAATTTGATATATATTTATTAATATCTTTTTTAGTAAACTTATTTTATTCTTACTTTCATATTTCAAAATTTAGGTTCATTCCAAATACCAAATAATAAATATTTTTAAAAATTTTATTTTTAAATAGTTTTATAGGTTATAATTCCAAATTTTTTTAAAGTTTTGCCATCATCTTAAAGTAGAGGTATTACTAAGCACACCTGCAAAAAATGAGTTTTTAATTCAAAATTTCCTAAGATATACGTGAATTTACAGTTTGGCGCATTTATTATAAGTGATAATAACGAAAATGTGGTTTATGCAATTTGTTAAAATTATTTGAGAGTATGAATGATGACTTTTTTCCTGCTTGTGGACAATGAATAAAAAGGAAAATATGTTGCTATAAATTAAGAAGTTCGCCAAGTGAATTATTCTTGGTACAAATTGCAGGGGGGGGGAATTCATGATAAATTTAATTTCTCCACAAATTTCTCACCAAAAATTACAAAATTTAATATCTAAGCATAATTTGAGTCATAGAATCGAAATATGAAAAAAATTGCTATTTTTTTCAGGAAAAAGTCAGATTTTGTGTCAAAATACCAATGTTGGAATAAAGCTTAATATATATTTTAAGTCGCACTTTCCAGACATGGAATTATGCATTTAAATTTTGTCAATCGGCTCAGTAGAACGGGAGATATAGAACTGTTCTCTCTCTCCCCCCTTTTTTTGTGCAGTATACATATTAAGCATAACTATTTATTTTTTTCATCCAGCTATATGAAGAATTAAAAAGAATACCGGGTTGGATGCAAAGACAGGAATTTTTGCAACAATTTAGCAATAAGTACACATTTTCATTAAAGATTGAGAACAATTACTAATAATAGCTTATTATGGGGAGAAGATGAGAGATAAAACACATGATAAGCACTAACAGTAAGGAGGAATTTTATCCATCCCAAAAGGTGGGCATAGCAGATATTGTTCATCCAGTTTTCCCCATACATGACTGTGTAGAAAACTCAAAGTACGAATTTCAACCTTCAATTTTTATGCATGAAAGGTTTGAGAACTTCAAGGCCAAAAAATTAAATATAAACAAAGAAATTTATTATTAATTAACTAACTTCTGCTTTGCATCAAGATACAAAAATGTGTTTTTTTAAAGAAAAGAAGCCAATCAAAAAAGTTAAAACATTAAATAAATGATATAATATCTAAATAAAATAAGGAAAAATAACCTTTTATTATACATCATTTGGCATTCAATTAAAAATATCCATTCAGGTAAAATGCTGATAATACATTAGAACTTACCATCTTGTTACCACCTCTAATGAAGATTGTTACAGCACGTGAATTTTGACATCCTTCAATTACCAACATCTTTTCTTCAGTTGTTCCAAAAGTCAGTCCCCTGACAATACCAGCTTTTCCCAATTTTTCTGGGGTTAATTCTTCAAAACGAGGAACAATTCTTCCACCAGTAGCAATTGCTATAAGCTGAGAAAGAAAACTTTTATACTCAGTACACATAAATTCAGCAATTTTATTCAAGTATAAAAAGTCAATATCAGTTAAACTTAAGTTAAAATAATACACTGAATAGTAATTATTGGACGTGCTAAAACAACAAGAACCTATAAAATTCATAAATTTGCAAGACTAATTTTGAAACTTAAAATAAAGAGTCTTCAAAACACTAGTCTCGCAAATTTATGAATTTTATACCGATTCTTGTTGCCTGAACATTTCCAATAATCAATCAAATTTGCTAAAATATTAACTCACACAATTTTTACAATAAGACATCTAGGCCAACAAAATTTAACACAGAAGTATATTCAGTTGATATTAATGTCAGTAATGTGACTAATAGTGAATTTTAAGAAATATAGCAACCCTGAAATTTATATATAAAAAATTATAACAGCATCAATACATCAGGGAATTTTAAAATATTCTTTACTTCCCTTTGTTACTGTTTAGTATCTGTGGTTTACTACAGCCCAAAAAACCTTTTGAAAATTAGTGAAATGAAGATTTATGCATCTCAAAATGTAATTCAAGCAAAAATGGGCAGCAACATTGTGAAACTGTTGTACTCCAAATGTGCCTTGCACAGTTTTTTCTAATCAGAATAATGAGTTCAACTAGTACTCACTACTATGTCCACCAGACATAAATTTTGAAACTTGCACAAATTTCTGTTTCGGGACAGGGGCTGAATAAATTATAGATAACTACAGATATGACGGCATGAATGAATGCATTGCAGCGTAGCAGGAATCAAAAGACAATTTATGAAAATTACATAATTCTTGCAAATTTCAGATAGAAACATGATAATAAACACAAAATCTTTATATTTTCATTATTCATGGGAAAAAATATTATTTAGACACTTTTGAAACATTGGGAAAAAAAAAAAATTAAAAATTACCACAAAATACATACAAACCATAAGTATATAAACTCAAATGAAAAGCTTAAAAACAGGATATTTGATATTGAATTTGAGACTAAATCCAAGATTTCTTTGACAAAATATTTCTCTACTTGGCCAAAAAATAAATTTTTATTTTAGTAGGGAAGTTTTAGTGCATCACTATTTTGAAAATGGCCATTCTTTTTCTGCATTAGTTCAGCCCAAAAATAGTTGCCAATGAGTTCACAACATTTGGTGGGCATGCAGATTGTTATACGGAAGACTGTCAGATAAATTAAGATAGTTTGTTTTCAGCCTAAAGGCAGCAGTTTCAGCTCTAATTTTTCAAACAGCTATTGCAGCTAAAATCTTTAAAAGTAATTTTCTTTAAACTTTCACTTTTAATTAAGGCAGCCTTTTTCTCAAGTAGCAATACACAACATATTCTTAAAGTGTAAACTTATAAATAATGTCAATAATTCAAGAAAATGATTCTTACTTCTATTTCTGGTCCACCAACCCAACGAACTGCAGGAAGATCATATTTGAGCAGCAGATGATTCGCTTCATCATCAAATCCCCATTGGCATATTACTAAATTAGCTCCTGCATCTTTAACCTAAAAGAGATGTGCCATATAATTTTTCTATACAGAGTCGCTCATTTACAGAAATATCAAAACAATAACTTGGTTAGTAACTTTTCATTATTTAGACAATTACAATGGTTTAAAAGAAAGCAAGCCAATTACTTTTACAACGGCCATCCAGGAAGTAGATAACGTTTCCGTCTGTGTCCGCTAGGGGCGGGGGCTAGCGCGACCATCTTGGGGTCAGAGCGTTGCGCAGCTCAGTCTGCATCTAGCCGTGCTAGTGAGAGGTTCGTGCTGTGCTCCGTTCAGATACTGTGACGGTTTGAAATGTCTGCGTTAATTGAAAATCCCGCGAGCTGCGCTCAGTAATAAGGTTTCTGACTGCAAAAAACTGTAAACCGATAGAAATCTATCGGCAGCTTCGTGAAGTGTATGGGACAACATTATCACTGAAGGTGGAGTGCGTCAGTGGGTCATAAGATTTCAAAATGGCCGAACCAATGTTCACGACGAAGATCGAAGTGGGAGACCCAGCATAGTGACCGCCGAACTTCTCGAAAAAGTCGATGCTAAAGTCCGTGAAAATCGAAATTTCACAATAACGGAACTTTCTTTGAGTTTTCCACAAATTTCGCGAAGTTTGTTGCACGAAATCATCAGCGAAAAGCTTGGTTACCACAAGTTTCGTGCAAGATGGATTCCAAAAATCTTGACAGAGGACCACAAAAATCAGCGAATGGCTGCAGCGTGTTGAACTTTTTGAACGCTTACCATAAGGATGGTGACTCTTTACTCGATCGCCTCGCATCGTTACTGGTGACGAAACATGGCTGAAACATGTGAACTGTGAAACGAAATTGCAATCAATGCAGTGGGGGCACACAAGTTCTCCCCAAAAACCCAAGAAATGCATGCAAACAATGTCGGCAAGGAAGATGATGGCGACTGTTTTTTGGGACAGAAAAGGTGTAATTTTGGTGGACTTCCTGGAAAGAGGCACTACAATAAACTCTCAAAGGTATTGCCAAACTCTCCAAAAACTCAGAAGAGCAATTCAAAACAAGCGCGCAGAGGAATGTTGAGCTCTAAGATCTTGTTGATTCACGACAACGCCCGGCCCCACACGGCAAATGTCACTCGTAAAGTTCTTGAATCTTTTAAGTGGGAGTTGTTTCCTCATCCGCCGTACAGTCCCGACCTGGCATCGAGCGACTTCCCCACCTATTCCCAGCAATGAAGAAGTGGCTGGCTATGCAGCGTTTTGATGACGACGCACAGCTGCAAGAGGTAACGAAGTGGTTGAAGGCGCAGGCGGCCGAATTTTTCGACGAAGGAATTTCCAAGCTCGTACATCGCTACGATAAATGCCTTAATTTGTATGGTGACTATGTAGAAAAGTAGTATTTGAGTGTGGCTTTCATCTGTATATAATAAAATTTGTTTCCTATACTTTGTTTATTTTTTTATTCCAAAACGTAATCTACTTTCTGGATAGCCCTCGTACATCAAATTAAGATTATGGTATTTTCCTTCTCTCTTTAATAAAAGCTTTCCAGTCTGTGTTAATTATTCTTCCATTAATTCAAACACATAAAATTCCAATCTACCGATATTTCAGCGTTTAACAACTTTTAACAGTACTATTACAGCAATAAAAAATTATGAATCTACTGTCGAAAATAATTTTCATCCAATGCATTAATTATTCCAATCTGCCAAAAAACATAAATCAGATTTCAGTTCCTGTATTTTTATTAATATACACATATATCACTGAAATAATAAAAAATTACCCTTTGAACTATTTCCACAAATTTATCTTGTTCATATTTTACTAATTCTTGATAACTATCAACTGATGTAACATCTAATTTATGCTTGGTTTTTGGTTTTGGTGGTTCAAAGGGACAGGTTAAAATAGCAATTTTAGCATCTTTCACTTCTTTCGGCATCTGAGGATGGCTGAAGTACTTGTCTATAATTACACCCTTCACAAGCAAGGAGTCTTCAAGTCGAGCACCTTCTTTGCCTTCTACTTTAATAAGTTCAAAATCGACATCTTTAAGTCAGCTACAGATAAAATTGCCTGCACAGCAATTTCAGCAAACTGACGCTGGCATCTGTTTACACTGCAATTGAAACATACATTTTCAGTTTACTCTTAAAATAAATACAGATTTTTCATAATTTTATAAAAATGAATATGAACAGTATACTTTTTCATTAATATTAACAATTTTAGAAACCTCAAGTTTCTCCATTACCCTTCAAATCTTGGATCCAAGTGTATAAAAACATGTATTAAAATGGTACTTTATTATCAGTATAATTGTCAAGAACTTAAATTTCTTATGGTGCCTGAGTTTAACAATCTGCATTGATCTATTGAGTATTTCCAAGTGATTTCAACTTAAGATCTCTTAATGACTTCATATTGGAAATAGGAAGGGCTAATTTTGTTTTACTTTAGAATATGATACCTAATTGTTTTGAGAAGCTGGACTTGCAAGCAAAACATTGCAATACTAATATATGAACTAAAAGTTGAGTTTCTATTAGTATGAAAATGGTAAAATAAATAAAATTATTTGTAATAAAAGTCTGAAATAAACTAAATCACCTAGTTAATATAAAATGCATTTAGCATTATTTAATTTTCTTATTTAAAAATATTACAGTATTTACACATGGTGATTCTACAATCAATGGGGCAAACTTGGAAGGGTGATTGAGTGTACTAAAATTTTTGACATAGGAATGTAGGGTCTAAGTTATGGGCGAGTTTTACACATAGCGAAAAGGCTGACATACATTTAATTTATGGCAATGCTAACGGGAATGTCAGAGCAGCACTATGGTTTTCGAATAGGCTTATGCTGAAGCACACAATGTTCAAGAGGTTGCACCAGTCCCTGTGTCAAAATGGGTGATATGCCATCAACTCTGACAGTAGGAATGGAACAAGAACTATACAATAACCTCACATGGAAGAATCCATCTTGAACACTGCACATAAAACACCCCACACAGCTCTAAGTACAAGAGCTACTGCATGTGAGTCAGCCCACCATTTGGAGAGTATTGCATGAAAATTGTTTGCACCCATACCATCTGCACAAGGTCCAAGCCTTGCAAATGACAGATTACCCTCTGTTGATTTTTGTAACTGGTTCTTGCAGCTGTGTGCGGCGCGGGCAGATTTCCCTTCAGATGTGCTATTCACGGACAAGGCATGTTCCACACAGGATGTATATTCTAAGTGCATATTCACTTCAATACATACATGTCACATGCAGGCAACTGATAATCCATATGCCGCACGCATTCTGAATCCGCTTTTCTGTGAATTTGTGAGCAAGTATTGTTAACGAGTGCTTCATGCCTTCTACCTGCATGTCTCACATTATTGTATTTTCTGCAGCAGGTTTTACCGAAATTGTTTCAGCATGTTCCAGCTCTCATTCGTGATCGCCACGTCGCTCCAGCATGATTGCATGACAGCTCGTTGCAACCTGGTGGTCTGGAATGACTTAAATGGGAATTTTGCAGGTTAATGGACTGGGAATCGCCAGATTTATCTAGCATGGATTTTTTTTTATGGGTTCATCATTTAGGAGACTCATTGACTTATTCGAGGATCTTGTTTCATGACTATCCATTGCGGCTTCACTAGGCATATATTACTGTTGGTGGTCACAATTTTGAACATTTCTTGTGAATACTGTATTGCTGCAAAGAAGCACTTTGTGTTGATTTTTGTAACTAACACATTTTCCACCAGTGCCATTTCTTGCATTCATGCCTTAACATGTCACTTTAGACCCTACATGCCTATACACAAAATATATGTTTTAGTATGCTTAACTATCCTTTCAAGTTTGTCGCATGATTATAGAATCACCCTGTATAATTTAGCATACTATTCACTTTACAACAAAAATATCTAAAAAAGTAAAATTTACTGCTAAATATATATACATATAAAATACATTTTTGATCCTAATGTAGTCATTGCAGTTTGTATCAAAGGTTCTAGATTATCTTTATCCACAGGAAAACTATCACTAATTTTGTCTATGTATTCAATTGCACAACGAGCAGCCATCTCAAAACCATCAGCAATGCGAATGGGATGAATGCCTTTGTCTATTAACTGTTCTGCATGTTCCAATAAAGCTCCTAAAAGACAAAACACAAATTAATTTTCTTTTCTTAAAAAAAGAGGGGCTAAAATAATAAATAACTGAAATAGCACAATATTCAATAGTTTTAAATTTAAAAATTCATACCTGCAAGTACAACAACTCCAGTAGTGCCATCTCCAATTTCATCATCTTGTGATTGAGATAACTGGACAAACAATTTTGCAATTTGATGTTCAACATCCATCATTTTCAAAATTGTGGCACCATCATTTGTGACAGTAACATCTCCATCGGGTGAAACAAGCAGTTTATCTAGTCCTATAAATCAAAATTATTGAATATAAAGCTACTTAAAAAATTCAAAATATCTACAACCACCAATTCCTGCAATATTTAACGTCTTCAAAAACTTAATGCAGTTTATTTACTGAAACCTTTATCAGAATAATAAACACCAAACATGTGTATATATTTTTAAAAAACTGCACATTATTTAATACAAAAGTACAAAGCAATGAAATATACATAACTTTTTTGGTACTTTCCAATTCTCTGTAACTTCTAATTAAACTTTAAAAAACCAAATTATTAATTTACATAATGCCTAGCTTTATTAAATACATATAAGTGGATATTTATGAAGCATTGTGCTTTTAAGTAGAATTTAACACTGATAAACTCAAAACTCTCTAAAGCTAGACATCAAAGCATGACTAAATATTTGGCAATACAATCTCTCTCATGCAAATCTATTTTTCTTCAACCAAACATAAATGGGTCCCAATAAAAGAACTGCATTCAATATGCCCAATATACTTACTTCATTTATCGGAAATGGAAAATATTTTTTCATAATTAAAACTGGCAATTTTTTAAATTGGAACACTCAAAAACAACCATTGCACAGAAAATGCCAGCAGATTATGAAGAAAAATACTAGCGTTTCATGGGTTTGTTACAAATTCATGCAAGAAAACTTTTTTTGAGCTCAGTCAAATAGAAAATATGAATGAAATTCCACTCACATTTGATGTACCATACAACAAAGACTGTGAGTATTAAAGCGTCTAAATCAATAACCACAGGTCATAAAAAAACCCGATATACACTAGTTCTAACATGTTGTGCTGATGGCACAAAACTACTGCCGTTTTTCATATTAAAAAGAAAAACTTCCAACGGCTTCCTTTGTATCCATTACAGTAAAAAGTCGTTAATCCAGACTCGTCGGGACTTCAGTGATTCCGGAATCATCAGTTTAAATCTGGTAAGATGGCATGCAGAAATTATAAAATTAAAAATATGAAACCGAAATTTATGAAATAAAGAACAATTATGATCTAAAGGGTATCAAAATTTACAAAAAAAAAAAAAAAAAAAAAAAAAAAAGCTTAACTTTAAATTAATTAAGCTGATGTTTACTTTATTAAACATTTCTTTCAATGTAAGTTGTTTAAGTTGCTTCGTTTTATGTGATAACACTTTCTCTTTAATTCTATAAACAGACATAATTTCTTGTTCAGTTACAAAGTTCGCTGTTCAAGTCCTATAATTGCTGTGTCGAGAATACCGACTAATTTGTGAATCGAAATTTTTTCATTTTCAATAACCTCTGTGTCACTTTCTTCACTATCGGAAGCGAATTATAATGATGAGGAACTTGATTTAAATCATAGATGGATTACATCGAGATGAAATACTACATTTAGTAAGGAATTATAAGCCAAATTAAATAAAAACACCTGCCCTGAAGATAAGGATAGTGCTGACAGATCAACTTCCAATTAATTTCCAGCCACGGTACAACTGATGGGTACATGGATACCGAGTTTGTGCAATTGTTTGTCTTGTTATTTTGGCTTTGTGTAGCAGTGATTTTTGGCGCAAAAATTGCATCGATATCCATATTTCACCAAGGGGTACCCTAAACTATACTTTTACCGTAAGAATTTATTAAGTTGCAATACTTCAATGCTATTTTCTAACGAAGAATGATGAAGGAATTTTCTCAGGAAAACTTTGTCCCTATGTTACCCATACATAAATAGATTAATTTTAAAAAATTTCATGCACTACTGATGATTACTGATGGGTATTTTGCTAAAGGTTAGTTTTCTTCCAAGATAAAATGAATGATATATTCAATGGTCTGCTAAAGGGAATACAGTTACTAATAAAAATTTAACTTCAAAACCTAATTTTTAAAAATAATGTTTCAATATTTCTGCAATAAAATGCAAGATAACTAAAGTTTTCTGCAAAAAAGCACTGAAAGTGAGATAGAATTCTTTTTACCGATGTGATGTTTCATTAATTTTTTTGTTCCAAAACATGCTGGCAAAATAACAAAATGATCTAACTTTACTAAATAGCAGATGGGTAGTAGTGCAGTTTTTATAAAAAACAAGTATTCTTTTAAATTATATCATAACATCAACCCTCTGAAGAGATGTCAAAAGATAGAAAATTTTAATTTTTGAACACTTTTTTGTTCCTATTTTGATATTTTAATTACAAAACAATTATTCTCTTTTCATTTACATAATCACTGCTATTAAATTCACAATAGCTTTTATCACATTATTTTGTGAAAATTGTCTCTTTATTGTGTCCTTTTTAGCATATACAATCAAAAGTCTTTAATCCGGACTTCGGCAATTTCGGATTATCGGTTTTTCCAGATTATAGATCATCAATTTAAACCTGGTAAGATGGCATGCAGAAATTATAAAATTGAAAATATGAAACCGTAATTTATGAAATAAAGAGCAATTATGATCTAAAGGGTATCAAAATTTACAAAAAAAAAAAAAAAAAAAAAAAGAGCTTAATATTTATTTGTTTACTTTATTAAACATTCCTTTCAATGTAAGTTGTTTAAGTTGCTTTGTTTTACGTGCTAATACTTTCTCTTTAATTCTATAAACAGACATAATTTCTTGTTCAGTTACAAAGTTCCGCTGTTCAAGTTCTGTGTCGAGAATACCGACTAATTTGTCAATCAAAATTTTTTCTTTTTCAATAACCTCTCTGTCACCTTCTTCACTATCGGAACCAGTGCATCGAAACATGCTTTTGCTTTGTAGATGCTTTGGCAGCTCCAGAATCGGAAACTCTTTTTGACATAATTGAAAGTGCAAGCTTACTTTTTATAAAATTGCTCATAGTCTGCAAAAAATAATAAGCCGGATACAATTAGAAGATTAAGAAACATGCAATCTGCAACATTAACTGAAATAGATAATTTTAGCATAGCCGCCTATACCATCCATTCTACATTAAATGCGCATACGTAAAGGCATTACGCACATGCACAGAAAGTTTGTAGCTTTGATGTCAGAATTAAAGACTTTTGACTGTACACGCAAATATATAAATTTATGCATCCAAAAAGATGTTTGCAAGGATATATAGGACTAGTTCAGTTACATAAATAATTAAAACATTTAAATTAGTCATATAGCAGCACTATATATGAATAAAATATAGATATAATACAAATATGAAATAAGCTTAATAATTAACTTGTTTCAGCCATTTTTTTTTCTCTGAGGAAGTTCTTGCTAACTCTGATTTTATAAAGAAAGTGTTGAACCACATACATTTTTAAAATGAATCAAACTATCACATAAAAAGTGCAGATTGAGTTAGTTACCTTTAGGACCAAGAGAAGTGCGTAAAGTATTCGCAACACTTTTCCCTGCATATATGTGCATCTGAAAAATATTGAATATGAATGCATAGGTTGTAAAAGTAAATATCTCAAGATACAGAGCAATAACTTAAATAAAGTACGTTTTCAGTTTATTTATATATTCCCAATAAATATTACTGAGAAAATAAACCCCACATATAACATAAAACACGCGAATGTGTGAAATTAATTAAAATAACTGACTATGGCAGACAATAACAGGTAACTATTTTAATCCCATAATATGCATTAATTCCAAGACGTATTTTACAATATACTACGAGAAATTTTACAGAAAAATGCATTGCATTTAATCAATGAATTGCATTATTATATTATACAAACTTTGACTTATTTTATAAAATTAATGCAAGCATAACAGCCTAGAGCCATCTGTCACATTAACATAAAAAGAAAACCTTTTTAGTCTTCTTGAACTTTAAAAAATGTACTTCAAAAAGTTTCATTTAAGATAAAGTTTCGTATACCTTGATAGCATCAATTCCAGTTAATCTATTTTTCTTTTCTTGGTCTTTTAATATCAGGAACGGTCGTCCAAACTCATCAAAATTTATAGTGCAAACTTGCGCCATTTTCAACTACCTGGATAGAGATAAATTATATAACCTTTTAGAAAGATTGATAGTCCGCAAAGAAAGAAAAAATCCGCTATAAAACACTCTTTTGGTTTCTTGATTATTAAGGATTGAATTTTCAATGCGCAGACGATATATTATCCGCCATTAATTTACTCACGCCGGTTGCCGTCAGATTGCCGGTTCTGTGGAAAAGGTGCAGCTGCAAATAGGCGGCGCTCAGATCATTTAAGAAAGTGAAATCAAAACTCAGGTAAAATATTTATCAAAGCACTAAGCATCATTTTTGAGTTATGAATAGGTAGAGCTTTCATAGTAACCTGTTTAAAAAGTAGTTTGTATGTTAAGAAATCGTAGAATGCACAGAAGAATAAAGATTTTTGAAAGAAATAGTAGCTTGAAATAATGCTCAATGTTCAATGATAAAAGTGTGAGAAAACTTCCGTTGCGACAAATGTCTTCCCATTCTTTTAACATTAGCAAATTTAGAGACGTATCACATGAAAAAAGCTCAGTGAAGTAATGAAAAAGTCTGCTGCTACATAGAATACATCTTCAAAATCCTGCTACAGTAAAAAAAGGGCATGCTTTATCCTATTATTAATAAATATTTGCCGAATATCACTTTTGTTTTTTTTAACGTTTTTTTCGATTAGTATCAATATTGAAAAATAGAGAGCTTCACTACTCCATACGGACTGATTGTCAATTTCTATTTTGGGGAACATTTAATGTTTTCTGCATTAAAATATAATTTTTTACTTCAGGGAACGAAGTAACATTCACCATCATACAATTCATTCATTAAAATGTCATTCTTGCGCAGAAAAATATGCATGTACATCAATTTTGTCTAAAACTTAGCAAACCTAAAACGTAATTGCATCTTTCGCCAAGCAGAAAACTTGGCGAACTTTTTCACGCCATTTGTTGTCGATCGTCTCCAGCTTTGCGTCTGCAGAGCTGAACAGGTTTCACTAATGTACCCTCTATTCTTTGCCCTCTCCCCCAAGCAATTTAGGACGAAACATTGAATGCTTTCAAAAGCCATTTGCAGAATCAGTGGAAATGTTTACTTCCTAGGTCCTTCAGCTAACGAGTCACTCATTGAAAGAAAAATTTCTCAAGCGCAATGTTTGTCTGCTAAATATAATTCAAATAATAAATTATTTTACTAATACCATTAATAAATAAATATTCATCTCAGGGTTATGAGAGAACGTCGAAAAATCATTCGATATTTTTTTATGAAGCGTTATGATTACCTTTAAAACTGTCTCAGTTACTAAGTTGAAATCATTCTACATAAACCTTGAATGCTGAACTGATATTTATTTTCGGGTAATTTATAGAACTTAATCATAGAAACTGGAGGCCTTCAAATTATACGTATATTTTCCGAATAATCTCATCATATATTAGGTCAGCACTTCACACTGAATACGTTGAAATTAAGCATAACTGAAACGCTTTTAAAATAGTCTCCAGATATTAGGGATAGTGTGATATACGTTAAATTTTGCCTCTTCAATAATTCTTATAATATGGCGCTTCTTGTTGAATATTTCAATATTATTTCGTGCATCACATAGTACAAGTTATCTCATTGCGGAAAGGATGGCATAATTTGATGGAAATTTAAAAGGATGGAAATTAATGGAAATTTCTAAGGATAAATCGCAAAATTCTGCGAATATTTCGCAGCCGACGAATTTCACTTACACTTCCAAAGAACCTGTCAGATAATGACGCATTATGTTAAATTTATTTTCAAACAGCCAAGCTTTGTCAGTATTAACAGAACCGTTATAAGCGATCAAGATCTTGATTTAAGCTGATAGCACAATTTAATAAGTTTACGTCACATCAATAAGTTACGTCACCTTTTTATTTGATATCTGTTATCATGGTTGATTTGGTTTATTTATTTAATTATAGTAAAGCACACAAGGGCTATTGCGTAAATGGAAAGATGCCTTCCTTGAGAACCGCTACGAACGGCAGAGCAGTAAAGTCACTGAACACTGGTAGCTCGGTCCGAGGTTCGAATCCCACGAACAAAGCGGCTGCACGAGCGTTTTCATGGTTTTCCCAAGTGTAACTTGTACACGAGCCAGTTTCCCTTTGAAAGTCCTCCACAAAGGCATCGCTTCCCTTAGTCAGATAACTCTCGACGCTTTGACGTAATTACGTAAACCAAACCAAACCTTAGTGTTAAGGGCTTTTTAAGTGAAACTGGCTTGTACCCATGCTAGAATCACGAAATAATACATTCAACCAGCCCGTTCGTTTCTATTCGAGCCCTTCGAACTACCAGTGTTCAATGGTAGCAGCTCCTCACCGGTACGCTCGGCTGTCGGTGAGCTAGTCTGCTGTTATGTAACGTGGTTAAATTCGAAAATGGATTGTTCAAAATGTCAGCAAATATGAAAAGCCTTTCGAAATTTCCATAGAAATCTACAGAAAATTCGTGATTTTTTTAATGGTGTAAAATTACTAAAAATCCTTAAATTTTGCAGAAATTCCTGCTGTAATAAAGTAGGTCTTGTGGAAGAATTCAAACAATGACTAATAACTTTACTTTAGAGGCATTTTTTCAATTTTGCCAGATCTTTGAATCATCGAATATTAATTAATGTTAAAGCAGATGAAAGATCTTTATCTAGGTAAGTATACGTACCTAAATTTCAATGACCATTTAAACTTCTCACTGTACATATTAGATCAGGGATGGTAAACTTTTTCGGTCGCGGGCCAAAGATCGATTAAAAAAAAAATTGAAGGGAAGTCTTTTCAATTTAAAACTTGGATTTCTTAATTTTCTGAATGATGATGCTTTAACCTTTAGTCCAGGATTTCCGGACCGTTGGACCTTCTACCTCGTTTTTCTTTGTCGTTGAACTTTACCCGGCTGACATTCTACCTCTACGATGTCGGGACTTTTTGAAGCTTGTGGACCCGTCTGACATTCTACCTCTACGATGTCGGGACAGGTTGGAGGAGAAGAAGAAGAAGAAGAGGATACTGGAAGAGGTTCTGTCTGTGAGGAGTCCAAAAGAGGTTGCCTGTTTGAACAAGTCGGGGAAGAAGTAGAAGAAGAAGAAGAAGAAGCTTCTGGATTCTGAAGCGGATCTTGCACGCCAGGTTCCGGTAAGTCGACCGTTTTTTAAGAGGTAATTTTTTTTCTTCCTCCTCATCTTCAATTGTGATGACTTCAATTTCATTCCGTTGCCGGGTCGATTTTGTTTCGGGCCAAATGAACGGTTTGGTCCAGCTCCTCTTATCATCTAAGGAAGGGATGGGTAAAGGTGGCGGAGGGTTTTTCTTCTTCTTTTTCTTGAAACATCATCGGCGATTGGAAAGAAATCTCCTCTTTCAATTGTTTCCAAAGCGAGTACGAGCACCGATCGACGAGAAAGAGACTCTTCTGGGTTGTGACGATGAGATATTGCGTTTTCGGGGGAACGACATAGTTTTGAAAAGGTCTTAGAATATATTTCTTATATTTCATCCTGTCGCTGACTTTAAAACTTCTTTCCTTCAGATTGGGGGACGATGATTCGTAATAGGCGAGAGGAGCGGCTGTGGTTTGAACAATATGAACTTCGTCCTCAGCCGTCGTTCTCACTCCAAACGTAAAATATCGTTTCGTGAGAAAAATATTCTTCCACCGAAAACTCGTGCGCGGATCTGTATATCGCCGGTCTGTTTGAATGGGCCGTCTCAAAGCTCGATCCATCCGATTCCAAGAGAAGGGAGATTCCTCTTTCGTTTGTTGCGATTCGAATAAATTTCTGTATATATTCTGAACGAGCAGGTTGGAGGATTCGACATCTTGGTTGAAAGAAACGATCGCTTGATGAGGTGGTAAATGCGGAATAAATGTCGCACAATGACACGCCAAAAAAATTTTCAAGTTGGAGATTTGCTTTAGCGTCTTCAAATCCTCCCCGTTCGAAATCCGTTGAGTTGGAAAAACGTCTAATAGCGACATGGCTCCCAATGGAAAAGAAATGATCTCGCCCAGTACTCTCGTCTTTTTATATATCTATATAGACACACACAGACACACATAGAGGCTCTATGACGTCCGTTTTATTTGTTTTTTTTTGTTTCTCTCTCTCTTCTTTCCAAGAAATCTTATCTCCATGACCTCTTTTTCTTTTCTTAAAAAGATGAATGTGTGTGGGAATGAGGAAGTGAAAGTAATAATTTAATAAACAAAAAATTATCCAACCATGACCTTCTTTTTTTTTTCAAAGTCACCCTTTCCAATCCAAGGACGTCCAGAGATAGAGGAAGCAGGGAGAGAGGAGGAGGAGGGAAGGGAAGGTCACACTCTCTTTCTCTCTATAAATAAAAGGGGAGAGCCCCAAAGTCGTATTTTTGTCCAAGTGGATCATGAGGAGGCATCCCCAGCTCACTACGTGTATTCCTTTCAAATATAAATATGTTGATCTTTCCTTTTATATCATCCAAGGAGTCGTTTACCTGAAAGCCTCCGATTTTTCAAAATGTGCGGGTTATTATACCGTGGGGAGTTATCAAAAGATGCGGGACGAATTTTTGTCCGACGAAAACGTGTTGATGGCTCGTGACATTCCACCTTTGGATGCACAAATTTTGTTAATGAAACGAGCCAAATATTTTTACACGTCCCACTTTCTAACCGTCTCGCAAATGAATAGGATTATGGATCGTCTTGAGAAGACAAAAGGGATTCTCGTTCATTTTAGTGAATGGTTGCACAAATGTTTGCACGAACCTCTCTCGATCGAGAAGACTGGGAAGAATACCTATTATATTCTTCTCGAGGACTCTCCTCCTTCGTCTCATCATTAGAGAGGCCACGACTTTTGAAAAAATCCTCGAGCAAGAAAAAATAGAATGGTGGAACAACTACCCCATCCCTCTCCCCGAGCATCAAGAGGAGCCTGTTCAGAAGAAAAAGAAAAAACCTTTCCAAAAGCCTATCCTCATCCTCCTCGATAATGATGGGGATGAGGAGAAGCCTGTTCAGATTCCTCTCAGTTTGTCAAAACCCGTCGAGGATGAAAAACCTCTCCCTTCCTCAAAACCCCTTGAGGAAGAGAGACCCCTCGAGAAGGAGAAATCTCTCCCATTGTCAAACCTCCTCGAAGATGAAAAACCTCTCCCTTTCTCAAGACCCCTCGAG